CCCCAAAACCCCAAAACCCCAAAACCCCAAAACCCCTGAGAGTAGTTATAAAATTGAAAAGATTTCAAGGAAAAGAATAGTTTTGAAACTTAAGGACTTAATATGGTAAATATTTGAGTTTATTTTTAAAATCTGGTTTAGATAAGACTTCTTGAAAGATGATGTCATTGAATATAAGCTAACTTTCATTTGTCTTAAACTTATAGAGGCTCCCATTTATACGTCATTCTGCGTACAGACCCTAGTGATTTGTGTGAGATGAGTTCTATATTATATCTAATTTATCAGAACTGATTAATGTTTATAGCAAGATTTTATAAGATAGAAAAAGAGTAAAACTTAACAGAAGCTACAAACTCAGCTATTTTGTTAGATCTATTCAAATTTAGAATAAGCTTCTCTTGGATACAGAAATATTGCAGTGAGATTAAGCTCCATCTAGAGATGTGTCAAGATTATATACTTGTATTTTGACAAAGGAAAATGAGACCAAGGCAAACTTTAAAATTAATGGAGAATCTTTTATGAAGTTCAGGAATTATTCTAATATCCATAAGTCTATAAATTCTCTTGTTTGAATTGCATTAACCTCTCGTGATATCCAAATAGATTAGAATTTCCTTTTTCTTTATCAACTTGCACGAACACAATCTGTTGAGGATCAACCATTTCACTTCTCAGACTTCTGAGATCTAGACCATTGTATTGCTGAAATTGGTCTCTCTTTCTGAAGGATGTGCAATACAGGGGGAAAACTCAGATCACAAGGATCACGCCGATTATGAACATAGCGAAGACTAACCAATCACGCTTAACTTGTTTCATATGATCCTCAATATGCTCAATTTCATCTTCAAACGCAGGTAGAGGATGTAAGTCAGCTTTAAAGACACCATGACCTTGAGTTGCATCTTTTGCTAGGACTACAATGACAGAGGTGTTATCATACCAGATATGGAAATCTCTGAGGTCTCCAACAGGGCTGATAGCTTCTGAAGAGGTGAATTGGTCACGTTTCTCGAAGAAGGTATGGTCAAGATCTGTCTCATAAATAAAAGCATCAATATTGGTAAACTCATCTTCTATCAATCTGAGTCTGGAGGAATACGATCCTTTGTTCCTAATCTTTACTACACAGACTAATTCGGGGTGCACATAGCTGATATTAAGGAATAAAGGTGAATGATCCTTGGCGATAAATTTGGTGTTCTCACAGTCTTCAGAAGGAAGAGCCAAAAGATATCCAGCTTTGTCACCTAATTTTTCAAGATCATTCGAACATGTGACTCCGCTTATTTGTCCACACTCTTCGCTGAGGTCATCTAGGTCACAGCAAATTCTGCTGCTGAGCTCTGACTTGAGGTTCCAACCGCATAGCTTCTTTGTTGGATCCTTGAGGCACTTGACTGAGTCCCTGCTCGTATTCACTTCTGTGTATCAGAAAGCTAGGGATAACAGGCAAATGAAAATACTAAATCTCATAATTATTATATCTGCCAATTCTCCAGGGTTTATTAGGGGTTTTGGGGTTTTGGGGTTTTGGGGTTTTGGGGTTTTGGGG